TCTCCATGCTCACGCTGTCACCTCTTGCTTGTACTTAGTAGTCTCTTTCTCCCTCTGCAGTTCATCCTTTACACTGCTATCAAAATCAGCTTTCGGAAGTGTAATTCTGATTACGTTATTTGCTTAATCAAAAATCTTCTATGTATTTCTGTTACCAAATGAAACACAAAGATATTCAGGGCCTTCTACACTTTGCTTCTAACCTGCTTTTCTCATGATATTCCTTTTCATACAGTCTTATCTCCTAGCCATCCTGAATTATTTGCTGTTCTCCAGTCTCATCCTTCCTTCTCCAGCCTCTAGGCCAGGGGTGGGGTACCCGGGGTCTCAAGGCCACATGTGGCCCTCTAGATCCTCAAGTGCGACCCCTGGACTGAATCCATTTGTTCTGTGGGCCACATTTGAGAACCTAGAGGGCTGAATGTGGCCTCGAGGCCCCAGGTTCCCCACCCCTGCTCAAGGCATTTATTCGTGTCATTTCTGGAAATGTCTCTCCTAGCATCTCCACTTATTGAAATGCTTTATTCATTCTACCCTTTCCCCCATGTGGAAGTGATCCCTTTCTCATAAGGTATCTCATACTACTACTGCCCCCCCATAATATTGTTATTCTTTTCCCTACTTTTTCCATTTCAGCATAGCTCAGACAATTTTGATGTACATTGACATTTGTTATAGTATAAAGGAATTTGGAGGTACAATCATGTAGACCTTGGAGGAATATAATAAGTAGAGTGTCCAGTATCTCACTCTCCAAATAGCATAGGATCTCTTTATGTAATTCTCTCTCATAGTGACCTTATCAGCTCCCATGGGGTCAGTTATCTTTACAAATGACTCACGATCTGTATATCTAATTCTGGTTTCTCTGCTGAGCTCCAATTCCTCATTACCAGCTGCTTATTGTGCGTTGCAAACAAGATATCCTGCAGGCATTTAAAAGTCAACATTTCTGAAACTGAACTTATTTAATGTCCCTTGAAACCAAATCCTCTTCTGAATGTCCCTGTTTCTGTCTAGGGTACCACCATCCTCTCAGTTACCCAGGTTTAAAACCTCAGGATCACCCTTGACTCCTCACTCTTCTACTCAATATATCTACTCATTTGCCGAGTCTTTTCAGTTCTTCTTCGGCAGCATCACTAACATCTATCCCCTTCTCTTTCTACTCACACAGTCACCACCTTAGGTCAGACCCTCATCACCTCTCATAACTGGACTATTTCAATAGTCTCCTGATTGGTCTCTCTGCTTTTACCATCTTCACTCTCTGATCCATTCTCCATACAGCTGCCAAAATGATATTTGTATGGTACCTTTCTGACCGTGTCACTCTCCTGCTAACTAAACTCCTTTGGCTCCCTATCACAAATACAGACCTCTCTAGCTGACATTTAAATGCCTTCACAGCCATGCTGCAGCCTACCTTTCCAGGTTTCTTTACATTACTTCCTGTCGTGCACCCTGCAGTCCAGTCAGATTGGCTTTCTTGCAGTTCCTCAAACCTGGCATTCCATCTCCCACCTCCCTTTGTTGATACAAGCTGTCCCCACATGCTGGAAATTCATTCATTCCCTTCCCTCTTCTGCTTCTTAGAATCCCTGACTTCTCCTCAAAGCTAAGCTCAAGCTCCTCCTCCTGTGTGAGAACTTTCCTGGTCCTCTGGCTGCCAGTGCTTCCTCACTGAAATAACCTTGTCCTTAATATGCACCCACATATATACGTATGTATATGTGAATACATATGCACATATATTGTATTTATTTGTATATATATATATATATATATATATGCAGGTTGTCTTGATGAAATAGAATATAAGCTCCTTGAGGGCAAGTACTCTAAATTTTTTGTATCCTCAGAACGTACAAAGTTGACTAGCACATTGGAAGTGCTTGGTAAATGTTTACTGATTGAATAACAAGTTTGGGTGAATTGTAATAGGATGAACTTCTATGATATGTTATTGTAATGGAATATTATTGTGTTATAAAAAATAAGCAGGATGATTTCAGAAAAACTTGGAAAGACTACATGAACTGATGCAAAGTGAAGGGAGTAGAACCAGGAGAACACTGTACCCAGTAACAGCAACATTGTACGATGATCAGTTCTGAATGACTCAGCTATTCTCGGCAAGACAAGGCTCAAGACAATTCCAAAGGACTCATGATGAAAAAATGCTATCCTCTTCCAGAGAAGGAACTGATGGCATCTGAATACAAACCAAAGCATGCTGTTGTTCCCTTTCTCCCTCCTTCACTTCTCTCCTCCCTTCTTTCTTGTTTTCTTCCACAAAATGACTAATATGGGAGTGCTTTACTTCATTGCACATGTATAATCTAGATAGATTGCGCATTGTCTCAGGGAGGGGGTAGAAAGGGGGAGAGGGATAGAATTTGGAACTGAAGACTTAAAAAACCTGAATGTTAAAAATTGTTTTTACATGTAATTGGGGGAAAATAAAATATTATTTAAAAAACAGGATGAACTCCAGTAGGGATATATTTAAAGGGATAAAAATCAACTTCACAAGTATAGGCTAGGGGAAGCATAGTTAAACAAGTTTATTAAAGATCTGGGGGTTCTGTAAGCCCAATATGAATCTGCAGCATCAAGAGGGGTATAATTTTGAGGAACAGGCTGGTCATATGGTCCCTTTGTACTCTGAATTGGGGAGACCCCATTGGGAGTATTGTGTTTAGTTCTGGGTGCCATATTTTAAGGAGGGCATTGGTGAAGTGGAGAGCACCTAAAGTCCAGCATCCACGATAGTGAAGGGCCTTGAGCCCACTGTATATGACAGTTAGTTTGAAGAGTCTGGGGATATTTATCTTGGAGAAAAGAAGGCTCAAGGGGAATGTGTATTTGAAGGGCTGACATGTGGAAGAAGATTAGGTCTAGAGGACATAACTTATGAACAAAAGGGAAATTTAGCCTTGATACCTATGGTTGGAGCTATCCAAAAGTGAAATGGACTGACTCTAGAGGCGATGGCCTCTCTGTCTTTGGAGGCCTTCAGCAAAGACTACATGACCACTTGTCGGTGTGTTATAATAGATGGTCATTGAGGTTCCTCCCAACTCTAAAAATTTATGACTATATGATTATTGATAGCTATTACGATTTAGTCCAAGCCCTCAATTTGCACGTGAGGAAACTGAAGCCAGACACTTGAAGTGCCTTAAAATTTGAACTCAGTGGGGCAGCTAGGTAGCACAGTGGATAGAGCACTGGCTCTGAAGTCAGGAAGACCTGAGTTCAAATCCAGCCTTGGACCAAATACTTGACACTTACTAGCTGTGTGACCCTGGGCAAGTCACTTAACCCCAGTTGCCTTAAAAAAAATGTGAACTCAGGTCATTTGTGTCCATGTCAAATGTTCTTTCTGTTACACTATAGTTTATAGTAACCATTCCAGTTTTGAGTGTTCTAAGGTCCATAGAACTACTGGAAAAACGCTTTGGTTCTGTGACCCCTCTGTAACATCCATGTTACTTTAGAACCAGAAGAACAATATGCATGACTTTAGGTAATATAAATGAAAAGATAATTAAGGAAAGCTATATACTCCAGGTAGTTGAAAAGCCAGGAGTGGCTCTACAGAAAAGATTGTTAAAAATCTTTCCTTCCACTAAGCAGAAAGGTGGAGAAACACATAGGCAGAAAGTTGCATTCATGAGCAAACTTTGTCATTTTATCAGTTGCTTTTTATTTTTCTTTATTACGAGAAGAAGGTCCAATTCTACAAGCAACTCACTGTTATCTGAATTACTTAACCTTTACATCTCCTACCAGTAACAAAGATGTCTCATTCTTTTTTTTTTACAGTAAATAAAACTTCATTTATTTTCTCTATCCTAGATTGATATTGCCAACAGTCACAGATCAGCATATGATACAATTATGTATTAACTATTTCTAGCTTACAGTATTTTTTTCCTGGAAAATAGAAGTGCAAAATCAAAGCAAACAAATGAGATACTGCCATTTGGATTCATCAGAAGCAAAAGCTTAAAGTACTAGTCTTTAGCAAAAAATTAACAAATCAAATCTGGATAATATAGTCAAATTCCTCTAATCAGGATCTATCAAAAAAATCTATCAAATCTCATCAAATTCCACCTTAAAATATATTACACAAGTCATTTAACCTAAAGCAGAATCCCCTAAATAAAACAAAATCACCCTAAAATAAATAAATTTAAGAGGCACACCGTCAAGAAGTAAGTGTCGTCCTAACCTTTTTTTTCTTTCTCTGTGTCCTTTAGTGCCTGACTAAAGTACAGGAGAATGAGACCCATCTAGTTGCATGCCATATTACCACTTTCCTTGCGCCATAATAGCTTGAGTGGAAATATTTAGTCAACACCAATACTAAGCAGCCAGTTATGAATTTCAAGTTCAGGCACAATGTTTGGGAAATTGCCATGTAGGTTGGTGTTTTCCATTTAGAATTGGGATTTCCCCACTGTGTTAATGGAGAAAACACTTTATTTCCTGGAATCTTTGCAAATAACATACTTCCCACAATGCCTCTTGCCTCTGTGGTTTTCTGGGGATGTTTTGTGTGTGTTTTATTCTGAAATTTTTGTTTCTAATTTGTAGTTTTAGTAACTTCCTCAGAGGACTGCAAAACCAGCTGCTTTTAGAAGTCACAGATGACAATGTATAACATTGTATAAATATTAAAAAGTATTTATATACTAAAAGACAAGTCGTCTCAACAAAATGTTATGGAAAGGCTATTTTATTGTCATATATTCACATATCTTAGTATATATTTCCTTAACCATGTTCATATACCAATTTTCTTTATTCCTTTGTTACCTGGGACCTTTGTATACAAAGCCATCTACTTTTTTCCTAAGGTAAAGGATGAAAAAAGATGGACAAGAAAAGAGAATGGTAAAAAATAAAATGAGTTAAATGATCAAAAGAGCATGTTATATGTTGTGTTTGTTATTAACATTCTATCCTGTTATTGGTTTGTCCTGCAGGAATTAGATGACAGAAAGAGACTACAAAAACAGGCTTCATCTAGTCAGAGTGCAATAGAAGTTCGCTTGAATAGAGCTCTTGAAGATGTAGAAAAGTATAAACTGGAGTTAAGCAAATTAAAGCAGAGTAACAAGGTACAGTCAACATGTCATAGTTTTGATGATAATCACCTTCATTAGCATCGTTATCTTTTATGCAGAATAGATAGGCAACACATATTCTTAGAAATTTTAAATGTAAAGAAAAACGCTCTGTGTTTCACGTAACAAACGTATCCATTGTTTAAAAAGCAATAATTTAACTACAACTGAAATGAGAAATAACACAAGGTCAGTGAAGACATGTGATGTAAGCATAAGCTGTGTTAGGGCATGTTACTAATAACGTGCGAGAAGTGGCAAAGGATCCATCTGAAGGCAGTTTGTAAACAGAAAATTTGGTGTCCTGGTCACATAGCAAGAGAGACAGCAGACAGATAACAACCTAAATAACTTGCTAGTCATTAAGAGGTACTGAGGAAAAGAGCAAAGACTTGGGCGTGTTAAATGGCTGCCATACAGAAGATTTATGGGAAAACCTGGCTAAGAATTACACATGCAAAACAGTAATCTGCATTGGTGAGGAAGTATCCACATTGATGCAATCCATGTATATTTCAAAACATCAGAGAAAAACTAGAATTACATATCTTGAATTGTATCATAGTGTGGTGGCTGCCCAGTAGTTCAGTGGGTTGTCTCCCCTAAATAGAGACCTATATCTCCATGTCCAGCTGGAGAGAAAACTCCGGAGCCTGCTACATGTCTGTCCTCCCATTTAATATTTTTACCAGTGGCATAAATGATGGAACCTAGAATATTTTGATTATATTTGTAGTTGACAGAGAATTGGGTATAATTACTAACATCTTGGAAACTAGAACTAAAATTCAGAGTGACCTTGATAAATGGCCCAACATTATGTTCCTGAGATATGTTTAATATTCTAGGAGCAAATATATACTTAATTATGAAAAAGTAGATCTTTGTAAATAGCAGAACTCCACGATGACATTTTACATGTTGTCTTTTCTCAGGCTTTTCTCATTCTCAAAAGCCTTATTTGATCAATAGCTTAGGCCATACCTACATCTATATTTGGGTACCAAAACCAATTGGGCTTCTTAACTGTCAGATACCATTGAACGCTTTAAGGATCTGTTATTTTGTCAGTGTGTATGCTCTTACAAAAGCAGGTTGTAATCCCTTTGTTTCTTAGTAGATGAGTCTGTAGAGCAGTTATGGCTAATTAATGGGAAATAATAGGTAGGAAACCTTAGGAAAAAAGGACTTGAGAGTCATGGTGGACCAGCAACAAGCCAATTTAAGCCGATAATAAAATGCTGGTTTTAAAACCCAGTATGGTCATTAGGCTCTATTTAGGAAAATGGAGTATCTGTAGGTAAGGAATTAATTCCTGTGGTATGGAATCTAATTAGTATGACATTAGGGGATTTTATTCAGCATTCAAAATTCATTCAAGCATTTATTAAGTGTCTGCTATATGCCAGGCATTATGCTAGGCAGTGAGAATACAAAGATGAAAATGAAATAGACCCTGCCCTCAAAGAGCTTACATTTTACTTTGGGGTAAACGACACGTAGACATGAAAAGTAAATTAAAAAATAAATATAAGGTCAGTACGGTATTGTTTTGTATACTCTAAGCCTCTCATCTTGAAGGTGCTCATGATGAAAATGAGCAAGATAACTGCATTCTATAAATCAAAATCTGTGGAATAACTTAGAAGCAGAGAAATTCAACCAGAAAATGAGATTCATCTCACTGTATCTACATATATTTTGATGCTTACTTGTTGACTTCAGTGTGAAAGGAAGGATAATGAAAAAAATATATTGGAAAATATAATCTGGGATTAAGGAATGAAAGAGGCCAAGCATTTGTAGAATACTTGGAAGTGTCACTCAGCTAAGAAGAAAGCTTTCTTCAAGAAGAGAGTCAAAAGATGTTGGATGTAGCAGGCACCAAACAGAATTACAAAAAATGTAATTGACAATATCTTCACAAAGAGGAAATACAACTCCTGTTGTATAATAGATCCAATCAGTAGAATAAAAGGCAGCTTTGAAAGTCCTCTTCCAAATGGATGTTGCCTGTGTGTTAAGATCATATGAGGTTCCTTGACAAGTACAACAACCAAGGTAATTTTGTTCAACAAGGCTCCTGATTATCATTCTCAAATGAGGCATAAAAGAGTGTGACATATGCTCACCAAGGGTGTTTGCCATTGTTGTGGAAATGTCTTACCCAAAGTTCTAATAGAAGAAGGATTTACTATAAGTGGTGAAGCCCTCCAGTTGGTCTTGTTTGTAAGTGACAGTATACCAATTGTATCCGCCCCAGAGCACTATAGGGCTTTCTCAGTGAAAGCCAAAACTACCCGAAAGAGATCAATTTAACAATCCACACAGGAAAAAACAGGTAGATGATATTTTTTGTGGTGTGGAGTAAAGAGCTTCAAGAATTGGATACAGATGAGCTGGGTTCAAGCCCTGGCTCTGCCAGTTACAACCTGTGTGACTTTGGACAAGTCATTTCACTTGTGACCTTATTTGTAAAATGAGGGGGTTGGATTAGATGGCCTCTAAGTCCCTTCCAGCTCTGGATGTCGTCCTATGAATGCCTGCTGTCCAGATAATGAAATGTAGTTAGGTGACCAACCCACTGATATATTTAGAAAAGTATATATGTGTGTGTTGGGCAGGTTCTAAAGATGAATAAGGAACCAGAATTGGATAGGAGCAGGAGAGCAGGCTGGATTCCATTTGGGAAATTGTGTAGTGCTTTCAGTGATCCCAAACTATTGTTCCCTGTCACCAAAGCGTGCTACCATAGTGAGTAATTTTATGAAAATATTACTCTAGCCTTTTTGCTAATATTTCATTTACTGTTTCAAAAAATTCCATACTATTTGATACTATTAATTATTTTTATTTTTTTATAATACTATTCATTATTGATATTGATCTGTAGTTTTCTTTCTCTGCTCTCTCTCCCCAAATTGGGTGTGAGAACCATATTTATTGCAGAGAAGGTATTTCATATGGTGCCTTTTTTCTTTATTACTCTGAAGTTTGTAGAGTTATTTGTTCTTTTAAATATTTACTTTAATTCATTTGTAAATCCATTTGAATCAGTTTTTTTCCCTTAAGAGTTCATATATAACTTGCTTTATTTCTTAGAGATCAGTTCTTTAGATTCTTTATTTTCTTTATTATTAATTTAGGAATTTTATGTATTTTGGGAAATAATCACCCAATTTAATTTTTTCATTATTGTTGGTATATAATGGAGTATGGCAGTTCCTGATAATTTTCTGGATTTCCTCTCAATTTGTTATTAATTTCCCCTTCTCAATTCTATTTTGGTAATTTGGTTTTCCTGTCCCCTTTTGGAATTGATTAGGAGCTGGGTTTTTTTTTTCTTTGAAGAATATAACTTTTTTTCCAGGTTAATAGCCTTTTGGTTTTCAATTTTGTTTCTTTATTCAAAGAATAGTCTACTCAGTTTTGCTATTCTTACAAAAAGCATTAGGGTTGAGCAGGGGTGGTGCCCACTCTCTCTAGTATTATTTATTTTCTGCAGTGCTAGAAATGCTCACTGTAATAGTAATAAAAGTAAATAAATAATATAAATAAAAGTAGTAATAAAATAGTAAATACATTGAGGGTGAAAGTATTGCACAGTTTGTCAAGTGCAGTCAGTCTTACTGTCCTATTTGAAGACCCATTCATTGTCTGTCTGCGTGTACTTATAGACTAACTTAGTTGATGGTATATCCATCTTGTCATTCAGTCAGTAAACCTTCAGTGCCTACTATGTGCCGGGCACTGTGCTTAGTTGAGATTATGGAAAGAGGCAAAGCCCTCGAAGAGCTTACAGTCTAATGGAGGAGACAGTAAGCAATCAAATATGTACAGACAGCCTACATACAGGAGAAATGGGATGCAGCTAAAGAGAAAAAGGGCACTGGAATGAAGAGGAGCTGGGAAAGGTTTCCTGTAGAAGATGTGACTTTAGTTGGAATTTAAAGAAATCCAGGGATGCCAGGAGGTAGACGTGAGGAGGGAGAACATTCTAGTTACGGGGGACAATTAGAGAAAATTCCCACAGCCAGGGATGGAATGTCTTCTTTGTGAAACAGTCAGGAGGCTAGTGTCACTGAATTGAGGAGTATGTGGTGGAAAGTAAGGTTTGAGCTTTGAGTGCCAAACAGAGGGTTTTGTATTTGAACCTGGAAGCGATAGGGTTCAAGTACTTTGCCAAGTAGGGATAGCTAGGTCATGCAGTGAACCGAGTGTTGGGCCTAGAGTCAGGAAGACTTTAGTTCAACTGTGGTCTCAGAAACTTCCTAGCTATGTGACTCTGAGCAAGTCATTTGACCTGTCTGCCTCAGTTTCCTCAACTGTACAATAGGGATAATCATAGCACCTACCTATCAGAGTTGTTATAAGGATCAAGTACGATTTGTGAGGTCCTTAGCAGAATGCCTGGCACGTAGTAGGAACTTCATAAATGCTTGTTTCCTTCCACTTAAATCAGTAAGTCTGATTATCAGCTATAGTATTATATATATTATATATATTATTATACTTACTGAAAACCAGTAAGTAAATTAGCAAGGGAACTAATTTTTTCTGCTCTGTTCTAGGACTTAGCAAATGAAGAACACAAGAAAATTGAAGGATTAAAAACAGAAAATAAGAAGCTGGAAAAACAAAAAGGAGAACTATTGACAGGTTTCAAAAAACAGCTTAAATTAATTGACATTTTAAAAAGACAAAAGGTAAGCTTACTCTGACAACTGAATCATAGGTAATGTAACTGTGTATGTGCTTTTAAGAATGTTTTCTTTATCACTAAAGAATGTTTTTGCCTTTTAGATACTTGATTATAATTCTTTCATGTATGTAAATAATATATATATGTGTATATATATGTACATTATATATATGTACATTATATATATATATTGTATATATATATATTTGTGAGGCAGTTGGGGTTAAGTGACTTGCTCAGGGTCACACAGCTAGTAAGTGTGAAGTGTCTGAGGTTGGATTTGAACTCAGGTCCTCCTGACTCCAAGGCCAGAGCTCTAACCACTGTGCCACCTAGCTGCCCCTTATAATTCTTTTAATGTAATTTTCACATACCAGATTTTATAAAGCGAGTTATTTATCATCACCATCACCATCACCATCATATTTGGTTAGGAAGGGAGGGAATAAGCATTTATATAGAATCTACGATGTGCCAGGCACTGTGCTTAGCTCTTTTACCAATATTTCATTTCATTCTCGTGACAGCCTTGCAAAGTAGATGCTATTGTTATCCCTATTTTACAGTTGAGGAAACTGAGGCGAATGGAAGCAAAATGCTTGCCTACGACCACATAGCTAGCAAGTGTCTGAAGCTGGATTTGAACTCAGGTTTTCCTGACTGCAAGCCCAACACTCTCTCCGCCGTGCTACCAGTTGCCTCTGATATATGCATGATATATGCATGAAATTGAACTAGATATTACAGAAGATGAGTATAGAAAATGTAGTATGGACACTCCTCCACTTAAAAACATTCTGTGAGCGGCATCATGGAGAGAAGGCCATCCTGGGGGTCAAGAAGACCTTATTTCTAATCTCCGCCCCTGATTGAGCAGCCGTGTGACTATAGGCAAATCACTCAGTGTTTCATTGTCCCAAGCGACTCTCTAAAACCAGAAGACGTAGATGACTTGCCACTCATAAATGGGAGAGAATTTCTACAAACTGATGAAATCACTGGCTTGGATGCAAAGCAGCAGGAAAAAAATCTTTTGTCAAGCACTTGTCACATGTTGGCAGCACTGTGCTATGCACTAGGGATGTAAAGTTGAGAAGCGATAGTCTCTGCCCTCAGTGCAGTCTGCTGGGGAGATTTGTCATGGGCACAAATATGTATGGGACAAGGAAGTACTTGAGAGGGGAAAAGGAAAAATGAAGGTACAGTGTGTTCTGGGAAAATTGGAATAAGGAGAGAGTGCTTTCAGCTTGGGGTTCAGATCAGGGAAAGCTTCCTGGTGGAGGAGGCAGTTAAGAAGGAAGGAAAGAATTTGAACAGGTCCTGAGAAGGGAGTACATTGCAGACATGACAGAACGGCCTACAGGAATCCATGTTGGCCAAAGAACAGCACTATTTCTATGGCAAAGTGCATTCCTAGGTCTATACAATGGAACTTTTGGAAAGCAACTCGTTAGTGCATTTGAACAGGCTTTTCTGTAGACTCCTTTAATTTGCACTTCATTCATTTGAGAGATATGATGATAATTCACAAGGGGTTTGGGCTGCAGTTTATCTTTTTGCTATATATGGGGAAAGAGTTTTTGATTTTTGGAGTTTTTTTAGGCAGTTGGGGTTAAGTGACTTGCCCACGGTCACACAGCTAGTGTCAAGTGTTTGGTCTGAGGCTGAATTCAAATTCGGGTTCTCCTGACTTCAGGGCCAGTGCTCTATCCACTGCACCACCTCGCTGCCCCAAAAGAGATTTTTTTTTTTAACAAAGAAAGAATAGTATAAACAGTGATCAGGGGCATTTTTCTTTCTTAATATAAACTTTTCAAGAAATTTATTATACAGACACTATCACCTATGTAACCATAGGTTAGCACTGTTTGGTTGGTATTTTGAATGACAGATTGTTCTCGTCTCTTCATTACATGGGCCCTCTATGTAATACTTTGTCTGCTAAAAAAAAAATGCCATTTAAAAAATTGACTCTTTGCCCAAGTCAGCAACACGTTGTTGTCCTTTTGGATTTGATCTTATTATTCATGATTTAAGACCTGCAAACAGCCAGTTCCTTCATACATGTCAAAATGCTAAGAATTCAGGAAGGGCAACATCAGTTTTTCTGAATTCAAATGGATTTAGGAGATAATGCTCTATCATAATTGCAAAGCTAAATTATTTTAATTTCACAGCACCCAAATATGTCCTTAGCCCTCATTAAATACTGTTTGTTGACTGATTGGAGAATAGTATTATCCTAGTAAGCTTCAAATCTCTGTTCTTCCTTCATTTAATTCTTTGGCCATTAAAAAACAGTGATAACTTTCTTAAAAATAGTAACATGCATAGTAACCTCACAGAAGTGATAAAATAAAAGACTGTTACATCCATTTTTTCACATGTAATTTTCCTGACCTACTTCTTCATTCTCAAAGGCAGGAAAAATGTAGAGCGTATTGGGAAAGGTCTTGGCTTTGGCTCAGAGGCCCTAGGTTTGAATCCTTACTATCTATGTGACCAACCAGGGACATGTCACTTCGCTTCTCTGCCCCCTCAGGGATGCCCAAGATCCCTTCTAATCTCTAAATCTTTAATTGGGTAATGCCAAAATACACGGTATAGACGGCGAGGATTTTCATGGTTTTAGTTAGAAAGAGTCACTTTTTTCCCAGGAGATTTATTTCAGTAATTCAAAGATCTGTGACCTTGCCATTGCAGCTGCTCCCTACACCAATGCTGATTAGTGCTTGGATGACTTAGTAGGTGATTTATGAGAATTCCTACGACTGAGTAATTAACCACCCAGATGCCAGCCGGGGACGAGCCTCTCCATGCTTCACTCCTGGGTTGGCCCTTGGATGGCACATACACCACCTGTCACCTGCCTGGTGTTTGAAGCCTTTTCCAGTTTTGTAGCACCTTCCAGAATTTATATTTCACTGGCATAGCCTTTGAAAACCCAGGGTCACCTCCGTGCCACGACGAAGCTTTAGAGTAGGACTTTCATAGTTGGAAAATGTACAGAAATTATATTTTAAATGCATCAACACTTAAACACTGAATAAAAATGGGATAAGGTGGAAATAGTACAGAGACCTTAGGTTTATCAAGAAAGGTTTCTTGGGAAAAAAAACCAAGGTACTGATTGATGGCACAGTGAAAAATTCTTGAAAGTGGAAATCAAGGAGAGTCTCAGGGGATAGTATGTAGATTCATCTGGCTGGACTAGAGGATATTGTTGTTACTTGGATGGTTGTGTTCAGAGATTTCCCCAGAATCTATGCATAGCCAACTTTTATTGCCTTTTGGTTTATTTTGCAGAGGTTTCTTATTTCCTAATACTAATATTAGATGTTAGTAACTAAATACAAAAAGGAGAAATCAATGTCATGTCAGAGCTGGAAGGGGCCATAGAGATTATCTAGTGTCTAATGCCATCACTTTAGAGATAAGGAAACTAAGATTACAAAAGGGTAAATTATTTCCAAGGTCATATGTCTAATAAGTGATAAAAGTGGACCTTGAAGTCAGGTTTTCTGAGTTAGAGCAGTGGTCTTTTCACTAGATCAAGTTCTTATCAGCCATTAGAAAAGGTGAAGATAGTGACTTTTCCCCTTTTCTTGCCCCCTCCCATCTCAGTAATAAATAAGGTTGGCTTGGTATATCAAAAAGATTTTTATTTTAAATTTTAATATTTTATTTTTGATGAGTAGGGACTCTGTGATTTAAAATACATTTTTATAATTATTCTTTCTACCCTAATGTCCTAAAGATAAATTAAAAGTTAGTTTAGAATGTAATAAAATATAAGCCTAGGAATTTGTGGTATGGGTTTTCTTTCTTATTTTCATTCTTTTTTACTTGAGAAAAGCAGTTATTTCTTATGCAAGAAACAAAGAGAACCACAAATTAAATCATATAATTAGGTACACTTTTCCTCAACCAGTTGTAGCGATTATAGTTTTCTATAATCCCTATTTTTTTCTAAGGAGAAATTAAAATAATGTGGTCCTGAGTAAGAAAAAAACTAAATTCCTTCATCAATGCTAGTTTCAAGTGACAGGCAGGTAATATTTTTTTTCTCACTGATATTGATAATCTCTAGTCAGTTTTTAGGACAGCGAGGTGGCCCAGTGGGTACAGTACCCAGCCTGGAGTCAGGAGGACCTGAGTTCAAATTCAGCTTCAGATGCTTACTAGCTATGTGACCCTGGGCAAGTCACTTAACATTGTTTGCCCCAGTTTCCTTATCTATAAAATGACCTGGAGAAGGAAATGACAAACCACTCTAGTATCTCTACCAAGAAAACCCCAAATAGGGCCATGAAGAGTCAGGCATGACTGAACAACAGTCATTTTTTGGTTTTATTTATAATTTTTTGTTTTTATTGATGGCTTTTATTCTTACATAAAGTTTATTTCAAATACAGCCCTCTCCCCCCACTCTTCAGTGCACCATCCTTTATAATAAGATGGGAAAAAAAAACAATTTAGCAAACTGACCAACAATAAATTAAATCTGACAATGGAAACAATGTGCTATATCCATAGTCCCCCAGCTCTGCAAAGAAATGGGAACAAGGGAGGAAGGAAACAAGCATTTGTCAAAGCACCTGCTAATGTGTCAGGCACTGTGCTTAAGTGCTTTAAAATTTAATCCTCCTAACCCTGAGAAGTGAGCGTTGTTATCCCTATTATACTGATGAGGAAACAGACAAACAGAGGTTAAGTGAGTTTACCAGGGTCATACATCTAAATGTCCAAGGCTGCATTTGAACTCGGGTCTTTCTGACCAAACCTGCCTTTGAGTTTTCTCATCTCTTTTTCAAGGCTGACCTTGGTTATATTATCATTACATGGCATTCTTTTCATTTATATTGTTGTGGTCATTGTCGGTATTGCCTTCTTGCTGCTCCTTCACCTATCATCAGTTCATGCCTTCCTTCACTGCTTTTCTGAATTCATTATATTATTCCTTACAGCACAGTGATATTCTGTGTATCCATTCCCTAGGTGATAGGCATGCATTTTTTCCCCCAGTGCTTTGCTACCACAAAAAGTGCTGCTAGGAGTATTTTGGTATATATACAACATTTATTTTATTTCTTTGACCTCTCTTGTGTATATTTCTTTAACAGTGGGATCTCTCAGTTAAAAGGTATGGATATAGTTGTTATTTTAAAAAGTACAATTCAAAATTGCTTTCCAGGATGGTATTTATTGTTTATGTTCATATTGAACATATTTCAAATTACTCCGTGATCTACTCATTCCTAATTGCTACTAAATTAAACAATGTTTATTTAACAGATGCATATTGAAGCCGCTAAGATGCTGTCTTTCACTGAAGAGGAATTTATGAAGGCACTTGAATGGGGAAATAAATAAATTTAATATACCTCAAATACTTCCCCCCAAAATCTTCCCTACAAGAAAATTCTGTGTGCCTGATAAATTGGAAGTATTTACTTTATTTGTGAGGTTGAGTATTAAAATATTTTCAGCAATCCAGTGGATTTTGTGGGTGGACTGTGTAAAAACTACATTCACATGCAAAAAAATGATAGTTTCTGACATATAGAGGAGAATTCTAAAGTTTCCTTAGATTTTAAGTTAGTTATTTGATTATTTTATACGAAAATTTACATAGCACAGAAAAGATTTATCACTACATAAAATACACTTTAAGGATTGTGTTATCGCTCAGAGATGTAGAGATGTTACAGGCACATTAGCTCATTTGGATACTTTCTATTCTTAAAGGTACTAGTAGTGACAGTTTTCTTTCAATATCTTGAATTTTAAATTATAATAGTTACAAGGAAGTTCAGCAACATCTTCTTCAAAGCTAGTCCATTATCAAATTACAGCACTTATTTGAATTTCTAAGTTATTTTAACATCCCAATAAAAATACAAATTTCTTATGTTAATATAATGGGGAGAACCTCTCATCAGTATGATGAGTTCTACTAGTTAACTTGAGATAATAGAGCAAAGGCCTTTGTCAGAAGGGAGGAGCACCTTCCAGGGAGCCAGACTTGGACCATAGCGCTTTAAGGAAAGGACACAGGGAATTCCACTGATTGGTCCCCAGTGACTGGAACTGCCTCTTGATGGTTGTCTAAGGTTCAGGAAAATAGACTTTTTTCACAGAAACTGCCTTTCCTGTGGTCTCTTAAGAGTGAAATGTAGACCGGGCCACCCCCAAGTCCCCTTTTCATGCAGTTTCTCTCCTTGGACTTCCAGACCAGAATATAGTGGAGGAGGGGATTTCTTCTCCTCTCTCTTTCCCACCCCCCAACAGTATCAACCCATAGCAGAAGAACATGGCAGTGAGAGATGGATGTGTTTGCTGCACTCAGCATAAGAGGGAAGATCCCTGAATGCCAACCTACCTTGTAGAGGATTTTTAATTCACCAGGCAGCAATCCAGAGAAAGCAGATTTCCTGAGAAGCAACAGGTTTGACAGTTTCATATATAGCCCCAAGTTCAAGAGTTTATGAGTTCTAGAATTAATGAGTTGAGTGGCAGGTACCCAGAGAAATATTTCCATAATGTCACCCTTTTCTGGTGGTTCATTCTGGAGAAGGGTTAGAAACAAAAGGAGAATGTGAAGCCTCTGTGGTTAGGCTCCCTCAGATTGAACACAGTTCATGTGAGTCTAGAGCCTTTGAGGGCCCTGGGCTACAGGTGACATTTACATAGTTAACTACTCCTCAGGAATTGCAGGTTATCTGGGGGAAATCTGATGAAATCATGAGCTCGTGAAGAACTCCAATTTGAAACACACCACCCAGCAAGACAGCTTTTAAAGCAAATAAGTCACAAATATTTGTTTATTGGTAATAATGTAAGGATAACACTAATCTAAAAATAATAGGTTGAAGAATTAAGAGGGTGAGAGATAAAGTAAATCCATAAATTTCTATACAGAAATAACAAAAACCAGGATATGTGAGATACCATCCTAAAAAACCTACAAAATATATAAAGTATCTATCTGGTAGTCAATCTAAGACACTCAAGACAAATACAAGTAAAACACTTCACAGAAACAATGGAACATAAATAATGGGTAGAATTTTAATTGATCATGGTTAGACTGTAATAATCTAACTGATGAAGCTACCTAAGTTAATTTGCAAAATTTAGAATTATATCAGTCTACTAAGGGTGTACTTTGTAGTCAGACAAAATAATAAAATTCGCCTTGAGAAAAAAAAAAGTACCAAATTGAAAGGGAAATAATGAAAATAAGGTGAAATAGTACACGTCAAGACCTCAAACTATTATTATAAGTAAGTAATCTTAAGAATGATTTGCTACTGGTTAAAAAAACCAGAAAAATAGACCTATTAAACACATGAGCTAAGTAAGGATCAGAAATGATTTCTTTAGTCCCCTGCCTGATAATCCCAGAAGCATAAACTACTTGGAAGAAAGACTGAAGTTCTGGAAAAACTGGAAAGCAGTTTTGAACAAAAGAGTTTTAGAGCAGCATTTTAGTTCACATAACACATTCCAAATGGATATGTAAACTAAATATGAAAGATCATGTCTTTAAAAAAAAATGGAATGACCTTCACTTGGCCATAACCATGTCTGAAGGAGAAGTCAACCAAATATGGGCTGATGTCTTCATAAGAGATGAGACAATTTTGGTTATATGTGTAAAGGTAAAGCTCTACCCCCTACTCCAATTAATCTCAAAAGATCCAGATACCTTTACTGAATTAATCAAAAATGTAGGCTAGGTATAAATATGTACTAAATCTGAAAGAATTAAAGTGCTTAAATCGATGTATGAAAACAGATGGTGCCACACAGGAAACATCTTGTGATTGTCAAAGAGAATTAGAAATGCTCCTCATTTTATTTACAAAGACTTCAAGTCCAATGCTAATCCATTTAAGCAGCGGAGGTACCTTAAAGGGACCTGGAGGTCCCTGAAAGAGGCAGTTCATTTCTCCTATACCAGAGGGCCCCAAGAAGGTGAGAGAGTGTAATATGTCACCCCCCATCACTCTACAATCACCACCATGGACCATGTTATTGGAAAGAGACCAAATAGAGATCATGTATCCAACATGGCACAGACACACACACACACACACACACATACTGAGGACAGACATGGACAAACAGACAGATGGATAAAGAAAGATAGCCACCTGAGGGAAGAAGTAGCTTCATGGAAATATGTGACCTCCTGTGGTGCAACAGACTTTGTAGCTCAGCAGAGTTACACTTATGAGTAACTTCATAAGGGCTACCCAAAGGAAATAAAGGGCTGCTAGTAACAAGGAGCTGAATTTATCCTTTGGTCATATGTGTTCCCTACATTTGTGCCGCACCCTTATATCAAGCCTGAGCCCTTATTCCCCAGGGATATTTTTGTGTGAAAAATTTTGGGAGGATATTTTGTACCAACTGTTTTTATTAGACTACCTTAGCAAAAATATTTTTTCCTAAAAGCTAATTGAGGCTGATATGAAATGGAAAGCACACCATTTGAAGGCTCATGTGTAACAGTGCTAGATCTCAGTCCCTCAGGTTAGCCCCAGAACCCTCTTCTAGGGCACCACTGTTTCAAGTGGAGTTAGGGGAGTAGTTCCAGAGGGGTTGCTACACATGAAGATTTAAAACTTGCAAAAATTAAATCAATGCAGCCAGGATAAGAAAGGAGACCTTCATAACTGAGGCGGGGGGAGGGGTAAGCCTTTGCATCAAAGACAATAAAGTTCTGATCGCCAAGGTATTTAGGAAAGTAATAAAATTATATGACCCGGAACCAAGAGATAAGTGGTCAAAGGATATGAATAAATGAACACTCGCACTAAGCACCAGGGATACACAAATAAGCAAAACGGTCCCTGCCCTCAAAGAGTTTATATTCTAATAGGGGAGCACAGCACATACAGGGGAGTGATGGCCAAGGAGTGTTTTGGTCAGGCAAGTCACGGGGATAGTGACTGAAATCATCAGGCGATTACTGACATGTCCTTTCCAGGAATAGTGGAGTTGGTTATTGTTCTCAGCTATAGCATTGGAAAGGAAGAGAGGAGAGGAAGGTGTGGTAGGAATGGTGCTGGCTGTGGATGGGGCACTGGGAGCGCTATTCAGGAATGAAGGGCTGCATGTCTATACACTGTGGAGGCCAGTCACAGTTACTGACTGGGAATCAGTGCTGGTACAGATGCTTACACTAGCTTCTCACTGGTCACTGTGAATAAATGCAGCCCTTGGAGGTGTCCCTCCCCTCATAAACAATAGTGGGTTAGGAAGGTAAAAGACCTTTCACTTTTACTAACAAAAATGAAGAAGGCTGGAATACTTGGTTATACAGATTCCTCTTACAAAATGGCCAGTGAAGGGGCAGCTAGGTGGTGCAGTGAATAGAGCACCGGCCCTGAAGTCAGAAGGATCTGAGTTCAAATCCGACCTCAGACCAAACACTTGACACATACTAGCTGTGTGACCTTGGGCAAGTCACTTAACCTTGATTGCCTCACCAAAAACAAACAAACAAAATAACAACAACAAAGAAAAATGGCAAGCCAAGAAGAATATGGTATCTGGCAACTGACAGTAGATTATCAGGAGAATAAAGATGTTATGTGCATTACTGTAATAACTCCTGACCTTGTCATTATGGAGGCCGAGGTATCACAGGCCCTGGGCATCAGCTAGATTCAATGACTATTAGGCTTTTGGAGCCATTCGCTATTCCACTTTTGAAAAAAAGTTGCTTGCCCGTTTGGGACCCTTGGTTGTTACTGAGTGGCCAAGTGTCCTGAGTCATACTGTGGTCCATAGTTGCTTAATATAAGTTGGTTGATGAAGGTGGTTCCTTAATGAGCAAGGGACCAGAGGTTTCCATCCTTAAGTATAAATGGCATCTCTATCCGTCCCCTGAGGTGTTGTGTGCTTTCAGAGTGGGTTGTGTTATTGCCTGAGGCAATGTTTTGCCTCCATGTTTGGCCCAATGTGCCCTAGTCTTCAAAGATCTAACCTCAGAGGAATGTTGTTTTGTTCCTAATCGATAGTAGTAGCCAGAGTTTGCAACCTGCAGGTACAGGGTCACCCCCATAACTAAGATGAGGCATCAGATAATGTTACTTTATATAGCAACATAATAATCAGGTATAAACACGCAAGATGGAAAACTGATGCTTAGCTGAAATGTTTTAACAATTCATTTTTGGTTCACAGTTGGATTAATCCACAGGAAAACATTAAAATTTTAATTAATATGCTTTTTAATATAATCACAAGTAAATATTTTATGAAAAACAGTCTACTGAATTGCTAGAATAAATTCTGCATAAGTCAGATAAATGACAGTTTTCACTTTATTTTGGATAGAAGACATTTAAGAAAACAAAAATACTTTATCAATGTATTTGTTTTTCATGAACATGTATTCCCTTTCCTTCCCCATGAATACTGACCGTATCTTAGTCGAAACAGTTTATTCCTTATTAGAGATCATTTGTGAATTTAAAAAGCAACTGAGCTGTTTCCTAGTGTTTTGTTAATTATTAAATAAAAACAAAAGTCTTAAGAGTAAATGAGATGTTTAATATAATCCTTTTTTCAATAATTTATTGACAAAGAAGACAAAACTGTATTCTTACAGACTGGATATATGGGAATTGTCAGATACTATAATAGTTTAAAAAATCCAAATGTTTGAAGGACTCTTACCAAGACGACTGTCAAACTGATACAGAAGTCAGGCTGACATCTAGTGGTGATATAAACAATCCAACTCTTGATGACTTTAGCTGTCTCCTAATGGTCTGTCGCTTTTCAGATATGCTTTCCTAAATGCTTCACCAAGCATATCAACATCTTTCTCATGTTTAATTACTCCCTAAAAGGAAAACACTTTGTTCATAAATCTGTACATTTAGTGAAATATTCTGGTACTCAAAAATAACAAACTGACTTTTAGAACTAAAAATTCCATAGAGATCATTTAGCCCAATCCTTCATTTGATAGATGAAGAAAGTGAGGTCCAAAGAGGCAAGTTAAGTGACTTCTCCAAGGTATATCCAATATCAAAGTAATCTACTCAGAAAAATTATGAATTTCTGGAATTAATCAATCAAGAAATGGATATCTGGATAGTTTATACTGAATTTCCTAATTTAGCAATACAAACAAGGAACTGCCAAGCCAAGGCTCTTAGAATGAGAAGCTAGTCCCTTCTCCTTCCCCTTTCCCCACTCCTCCTACTACCACACCATAGGTATGTTACCTAGTTCTACCTATATAGTAGTGGGATCTTTTGCATCCTTCCTCACTCCCCCTAAAATGGTGACAGAGTGTTGATATGAGACAGGGGAGGGCACTTTGAACTTCAAGGATTCTGGTCCTCCTTGCCTCACTTACATAAGCAATCATGGAATATATTACTAAAGGACACTTATACAGAACTGGGGCTGAGAAAACTGACCCCTCCTTTTTGGTTTCCAAGATACCTCATCCTAATAAAAGGACTGGGAGAGAAGCACCTGGTTCCTCTTCCCTGGCTTATTCTACAAGTTACTCTACTGCCTACTGTTTGAAGAATCCCTCTCCTCTCTACTGTCAACATGCCATTTACAATGTGTCCTCATGGTTCTCCAATCCCATTAATACAGAACCTGTATCGCTTATTCTTTTTTTTTTCTTTTTCTCTTTGGTGAGGTAATCAAGGTTAAGTGACTTGCCCAGGGTCACTTAGTAAGTGTCAAGTGTTTGAGGCCGCATTCGAACTTGAGTCCTCCTGACTCCAAGGCTGGAGCTTAATCACACACAAATACAATTACACCTTGGATGTCTCACCACTTCATAGAATTGTACTATATTCCCTCCAAGATCCTGACCTTCGAAATGTTCTTCTCTACCCACGACTTCCTATCCTTCTGCTCCTCCAATTCCCCTCATGCATGAGAAACTTGCTCTTCATACTGATTATGATCTTCAGTTCCTTGAACCCCTCCTGATTCTTCCAGTTCATTAACCCTCTCTAGTTTTAACTGTCTTCATGTGCTTGGCTAATGTTTTGGCTGTCTGCAGGGGATGAGATCATGGGGGAGGGTGGCTGGAAAGTGACAGTGATGCAGAAAAGGCATTATCAATAATGCTTTTCTTAATTAAAAGACTGATTTGGGAGCCACCACCCACCGTCCTTACCCGCTTTACACTTTGCATCATTTTCCACCGGCTCATTAATTCTTAACTTGTGGTAACCTTTACCATCTAATTCATGGATTCCCACTTCTAGGCTGCTGAGTAGCTACAAAATTAAGGTGGCACAGGGCAGGTAGGTGGTACAGTGGATAGAGTTCCAGGTCTAAAGTCAGGAAGACTCATCTTCCTGAGTTCAAATTTGGCCTCAGACATTTACTAGCTATGTGACCCTGGGCAAGTCACTGAACCCTGTCTGCCTAAAGTTTCCGTAAAATGGGTTGGAGAAGGAAATGGCAAACCACTCCAGTATCTCTGCCAAGTGTGGTCATGAAGAGTCAACCATGACTGAACAACAAATATAATATAAACTTATTGTGTATTGGCAATACTTTTATTCTACTCATAAATTCCCTCTTTCACTCCCCACAAAAACTGCTCAAACCTTTTTCAAAGGCCCAGCTGCCCCCACATATATTGCAGGCAACTGCCTCCAACTTGACTGAGAAGATAAAGTCCGTCCAGAGGAGCTCTCTCAGCTCCTTTTTCCCACCTCAAACTTCTCAGTATGTTTCATTACCCATTCTCTCCTGCTTCCAGGGGAATTGGGATCCTGTGCTTACTGCTAAGTCTAATGCCCTTTACTTGTGCCTTAGATTCTCATCCCTCCCCTCCCCCAGACCCCCATCCCATCAAGCCCTGCTGCTGTCACTCAACTTCAATCTCTTCCCCCCACCTTGTTCTGATCTGCTTTAAAAAAAAAATGCTCAGGTCTCCCTAACCCTAAAAAAACAAACTGAAGTTCTCCCTTAAAGCTTCTTCTCTCAGTCTAGCAATTCTATCTCTATTCTCCCCTTCCTAGTTAAACTTTTTGGAAAAGCAGTCTGCCCACTCTCTCTCCACTTACTGTCCCCTGAGCCCTGTGTAAACTAACTTCTATATCCATCAGTCTACTGAAACTATCATCTTAAAGCTCACCAGTGCCAAATTCTATGGCCTTTTTTTCATCCTTTTCTTCCTGGACCTTGATCTAGCATTTGATACAAATAATTATTCTTCCCCTCTCTGCCTGACCATTCTCACTGCCCCCCTTTTCTGTGACACCATAGTTTACTTCTTAGCCCTCTAACCACCCCCTCTCGTTAAATGTTCCCCAAGGTCCATTCTTAGCCTTTTTTTCCCTCTCTTCTCTCTACTTGATCTTAGTTTTTAACTTGGCTTCAATCATAAACTCTCCACAGATGACTCCCAAATCCGTATCTCTAAGCCCTAACCTCTTTTTAAATTCTAAATCTTGTCGTTTCAGTTGTGTTCAACATTTCATGACCCCATTTGGGGATTCCTTGTCCAAGATACTGGAGTGGTCTGCCATTTCCTTCTCCAGATCATTTTACAGAACGGAAACTGAGGCAAAAACAAGGTTAAGTGACTTGCCCAGAGTCACACAGCCAGTAAGTGTCTTAGGCTGGATATGAACTCATGTCTTCCTAACTACAGGCTTCAGTGCTCTATCCACTGCACCACCTACCTACACCAAATTCTAAATCTGTATGGTATCTATGGTGCATCTCTACCTGGAAGACCTGCCAACACCTCAAATGTCTAAAATCAAGCTTATACTTTTTCCTTTTAAACACATTCTCCTTTCTGACT